TTCATCCGATGGGTTTCTTGCCAGCAGGTAGATCAACTAGATCCCAAGTATGAGTCTTGTCTAAGGCCTGCAATTCCTCAGCCACAGCTTGTTTCCACAATGGATCAATACTCGCCTCATGAAAAGACCTAGGCTCATGATGAGATAATATGGCCGAATAACAATGATAATCAAGTAAGTGAGAAGAGGGACGACTTACACGAGTCGACCGTCGCTGATCAATAGCTGGAAAAAGTACAGAACCAGAAGAGGGCTCATTATGAACCGTCGGTTCAGGATACACAGGTGGAGCCACTTCAGAAGACGGAGGCATGACAGGCATGTCAATGAGCTGAGAGTCAGAACCTGTATCTGTATCTGGAAAAAGATCTGAAGTAATAGACATGAATAAAGGAAACGCCGAATCAAACGGAATGTGGAACTTAGACAAAGAGGAAAAAGTAGTATGTTCCCAAAAGGTAACATGACGCGAGATACGCAACCTATTAGAAATCGGATCCCAACACCTAAATCCTTTGTGTTCTACCCCATAACCCAAAAAACAACACAGATGAGCTCGGGGTTCTAATTTGGTCCGCTCATGGGACGGAAGGAGAACAAAGCAAGCACAACCAAAAGGACGTAACTGAGTACAATCAGGAGACTGACCGTACAACCTCTCAAAAGGACTGACATCCCTAATGACTGATGAGGGTAACCGATTGATAGCATAAACAGCAGTCAAGGCTACCTCACCCCAAAAACGATCAGGATACTGAGCAGAAAGAAGAAGAGCACGGACATTATCAAGAATGTGATGGTGCTTACGTTCAGCTCATCCATTTTGTTGGGAAGTATATGGACACGAACGTTGAACTAAGGTGCCCTGATCAGAAAGAAATTTAAAAAAAGTATAATCTTTGTACTCAAGAGAATTGTCAGTACGCAAGACCTTTATAGGACAAGAAAATTGTGTAAGAATCATTTTAGCAAATTGAATATATATGCTGGACAACTCAGAACGATTTTTGAGAAAATAGATCCAAGTAAAACGAGAAAAATAATCAACAAGAATAACAAAATACCGAAAACCACTCAGAGAAGCAACAGAAGAAGGACCCCAAATATCAGAATGTACCAAACCAAAAGGTTTATCTGCAGTTGACAAACTATCAGAAAAAGAAAGAGTCGGTTGTTTCCCAAGTTTGCAATGAAGACAACTAAAAGACTCAAAATGACCTGAACCCAAAAGACCCTTATTATATAAAGAACGAACTTTATTCGAAGACGCATGCCCAAGACGAAGAAGCCACTGGAAACTAGACTTACTATCGGTGGCAGAAGCAGAAAAAGTGTAAGAACGAGGGACATGAAGTGACTCAAGCTCAAATAACCGGCTTGTCTTGCGACCTTTCCCGAGAAGCTGTCCCGTCTGTGAATCCTGAACCTGAACACCAGAAGATGAAAATATAACATTAAGACCTTGGTCAACCAATTGACCAACAGAAATGAGATTCAAGGCCAAGTCAGGAATGCAGTATGTGTTGGGAAGATGCAAGGAAGGGGAAGAAATCAAACCAGTGTGAGTAACATTCATAAGAGTACCATTAGCATTATGTATAAGAGGTAAAGAGGTTACGAAAGACGAGGAAGACAAAAGCTGCGGGCTAGAGGTCATGTGATTGCAACAGCCAGAATCAAAATACCAATGTGAATTACCTCCGATAGCAGACATAGAAGAATTGGAAAGAAGAACCTGTTTGAGAATAGCCTCTATGTCTTGAAGAGTGTAAGACGAATGCTGAGGCTCAGTAGTGACAACCGCTGTAACAGAAGAAGTGACGGTAGAGGAAGACCCATGATGTCGAGAGAATGAACCTCTCGAACGGTGTGATCTGGCTGGACAATATGTAGCAATATGACCCCGAACATGGCAAATGTGGCATACCACCGTAGGACAATGGAGCAATATGACCCTGAACATGGCAAATCTGGCAGACCACTATAGAAGAATCCATATCCAAAAAATAAAGAAGCACTAGCAACCAGCAACAGTACGAAGACAAAAGAAAATCACGAACTGGATCACAAACCGGATAAAATAGCATTAAAAGGCCGAAATTAAAAATGGCACGAAAACCAAAACCGACCATACCAGGACGTAGCCGCCGATGAGAGGAGTCGACGGCTGAAAAATCACGACGATCGGAGCTGGGGGTGAATCTCACGCTCCAACTGAAGTTGCCAGCACTGTCGCAATGTTCTGGCGAGTGTGGGTCCCACGCGCCTCCGAACGGGCCCAAATTTTGACCGACGACTCGCCGGAAGATGCCGGAGAGGATGGTCTGGGAGGTGAGAATAGAAGACGGTCGGAGACGAGCAAAAAATACTAATCCTATATTGGACTATAAACCTAGTCGCTACCATGTAAGAAACAGGGGAAAGGGTGCGGTCCCACTAACATGAAGCGCACCATGAACGGGAAAAACCCATATGAAGCCAAGTGGAGTTCCATCCCAAAACCAATTGGTGGAAGGAGGAGTAGCCCATTAGACTTATAAGGTGGGTCTATTTTCCATGTATGAACAATGTGAGACAACTCACAAGTGATATTCTAACAATAAGAAAATAACATTAAAATAAAATTTCGCTTTTTTTTTTTTATCATAATGTCATTCTATTCAGTTCTTATTATAATGTCGTTTCATTCAGTTCTTATTCTTTACGAATATCGAAAACTTGTTTCGTTCTTTTTTCATA